GAGCGTCACCGGCGCGCTTCTGAGGAATAACTCCACAGCTTCAGCCCCCAGCAGGATGTTCTTCACCACCACCATGTGACCTTGACACACCTTGCACATGCGCATGATCTTGGTGCAGTCTTGCGTCAAAGCCTTTGGGCTATAATTCGCTCGATGTCCTTCAGCAGCTGAACCGACGTGCCGGATAGCAGCGGGAAGGCTCGAGAAGATCTCCCGTGTCAGTGCGCCGTCATGGACGCTGCCATGATCGCGCAAATCGCCGAGCAAGTGCGTGCGAATCTGAGCATCGCGGACCTGGAAAGGATGTTGCAAGAAAGGAAAACATCCGAGCCTAGCCGGTCATCGCAGGATGATACTGATGTGGAAAAGAAAGATGCTGCGAAGGAGAAATTTGAGGAAGAAAAGAAGGATGATATGGACGGCGAGGACATGGATTGAGGTGGGTGAAGACGATGCCCCGCAGCCGTTTGAGTCAACCGTTTGAGGGACGCCATGGCATCCGAGTCGCCATGGTGCATGTTTTCGCTTGATGGAAGCAGCAAGGTGAAGATGATTCAAGGAATGGGTATGGACGGCCCACTTCGCAAAGATTCTGATTGCTGCAAGCGTGTCTTGGTTTGTTTTTTGTACCTGTCGCCATGTTGGTGCCAACGTTTTTTGGGTTCTTTCCTGGAGTTTGCGAGATTGAAGGCTATGACTACGTCGAGGTCGTGTACTGAGAGTGGGTGAGCCTGAGACTTGCATGAATTTGTTTTAACGTGTTTGTCACCACGAACTCTTGGAGACCTTCCAAGACAACCTTGTCTAGTGCAGGAGGATGCAAGTTGAATTCGTTTGTCACGAGTTTGGACAACGAACTCTTGGGTACCAATTGGACCCAGGACAACCTGCCTTATGGTGGGATCTTGCATGAGTTTAAGTTTTATGTCAAAGATCGGCTGGTGTGTCGGTTGTTTCGCTTTGGTGGCGAGTACGCACCAAGGGAATGTGGCCAGGGCATCCCCTTAGTGTTGAAGTGCCGAGCTGTGCTTGGACTTTGGATCTTTGGCGTGAACCCTCAGCAAAATGCGGGGGGTGGAAGATCGTGGCTGATCATTGATGGTTTTGTCACGTTTTGGATCAGCTTGTATAGAGTTGTTTTGCTTCGGAGTGATTGGGAATCTTTATGATCCCATCCTCGATGGTTTTTGCCTCGATGATTTCCCTAGGAAATCATACGAGTATGTTTTTGCCCAATACGCTACTTTGAGTGAGTGTGCAGTGTGTAGGAACTTTGTTCTGAAGCTGAGTTTAAGCTCACATGTGAATTCGTTTAGTTTGCGCACTTCGTGACTTGTGGTTCAAGGCCTGCGAGTGAAAAAGAGCGTGTCCGCACTTGGTTGAGATAGGTTTGGGTTCGTGCTTTCAAGGGAAAAGGTACCAGAGGGACCTTCGGTTTTTCACGACTCGAGCCATGCAACCGACAAGCTTCAAAATCAGAAAACCTTTTCTTTGGCCAACAAGACGAAATCTTCAATCAAGCCCAGAAATGCAACCATCACTTTTGGCCAACAACACCAATTGAACTAAAAAAAAGTCGCAACACACCATTTATTTTTTGATTGTTCAACAGAAAAATTTTGAAGCAATCAAGAGATCTGTAGAGTGGTCTGAGGATTTTTTATTCTTTGTGTTTCTGATATTTCCAGTGGGTTTTAAAATTGAAAAGTCTGTGCTGTCCTTCACATTGGCTGAAGAAGGCGAGGGGCGGAGGTCCTAACAGTCGCCTTCTTCAGCCGATGTGAGGGAGGGAGGGAAATGACCCTGCAGAGGAGAGGTTGGGTTTGGGGAAATGCTGCCCATTTTTTCCAAGGGTGTTTGTTCAATTTGCCAAGTTTGGAATCAGAATGTGGAATTGCAGAGTGCATTTCTGATGAGAGTCTTCTTTTTTCTTTGATTATTGAACTGCACTGTGGCATGTGGAGTTGATTTTGATCAAATTTCTGATTTTGAAGTCGTTTGACGACTGATTCTGCAATGGTACGAACTCCAACCATGGCAGCTCGATGGCATGAAGGTCGAATCAGAACAGTGGTGGCAAAGAAGATTCCACAAGAGGCCGCATCCAGCTCCGGCGCGCCCTCGAGATGGTTGAGTCAAGACTGCTGGTCGCACCGGTTTGGATGCACGCTTTTCGCTTGCAGAATTGTTGACGTGCAGTTTGACAAGTTTGACCACCTTTTTGATCAATTTTGGATTTCTTTCTGGAGTTTCATCAAGCAGGACATGCAAGTGCTCTGGAGCGAAGACTCCAGCGAGGTCGCGTCCGCCTTCCATGCCCATCATAAATGCGAGACAAGGCGGAGAGTAGACTCTTTTCCGGGTTTGGGACAGGCCACCTGTGTTTTCTGCACAGAAGCCCTTGATCCGGACGCAGCTAATTTTGGGCACAAGCTCAAAGTGCGCAAGCTAAACCGCCATGGCTGACAAGAGAATGCCAAAGGCTTTCTCATGACCGAGAAGGTCTGTAAGTTCGCAGCGCGATGCCAAACATCCAGATGGCTTTTCAGGCCGTGTGGGCTCCTCCGTGTCGTTTTTCACTGGACCCTCCGTTTCTTGTTTTGTTTCTTGAATTTGTATTTTGAGAAAAGAGAGAGCTTCCTTCTTTCTTGCGTTGAAAAAGAGCGTAGAAATTGAATTGACATTTGGCGCGTTTCCATGTCATCTTCGGAGAGAGAGAGGGACTTTCATTTTCACTTCTAGCGCTTTAAAATTCTTTGTTTCTTTGGTTATGTTTACAGTGTTGTGCGGTGAGAAAACTTTTTGGAGGAAAACGGCCAGGGGCGGTTTTTCTGGTGCGAGGATGAACCTCGATTTTACCTCCTGACTTTTGCTGCAGGTGGGGATTCCTGATCAAACCAGCTGGGTGAGTGCACTGTGAAGGCCGGACAAGGTGGTTTGTCTGGAAGTGGATTGGTTGTGACCGATCTCGGAGGTATATAGTTCTAGGAAGAGTGGAACTAAGGTTCTTCAGAAGTCTTGACCATCTGGTGCTGCGTTTGTGGCGGTTATTTTGTTTCTTGTTCAAACAATTTCTTGACAGATCTGTTTTTCCTCTGGCAACAGTCAGGCCGGTTTAAAAGTCAACTTGAAAGCGACAGATGAAAAACATTTGCAGCAACAATTCAGGTTTTACAATGAAAATCTGATGGAAAAAACAGCAAAGAAACAAAATTGAGGCTTCTTGATGCTGTGCATTGCTTTGGCCAAATCGACGGGTGAATGCGAACCGCTTTACATTTTTTGTTTTTTCTTCAAATTGCTGTGTTTTCTTTGGTGCATGCGTGTGTGTGAATGTGCGAATGTGTGCATGTGTGTGTGTGTGTGCGTATGTGTGGATGTGTGTGGGTGTATATGTGAATATGTGTATATGTGTCTATGTGTATATGTGTATACGTGTATGTGTATGTGTGTATGTGTGTATGTGTGTATGTCTATGTGTCTATGTGTCTATGTGTAAATGTGTATATGTGTATGTGTGTATGTGTGTATGTGTGATGTTTGTATGTGTGTATGTGTGTATGTGTGTATCTGTCTATGTGTGTCTCTGTATGTGTGTGTGTGTGTGCGTATGTGCTGTGTGTATGTGTGTGTTTCTGTGTATGTATGCATGTTGTCTGAATGTATGTATGTGCGTGTGTGCATGTATGTACGTATGTGTGTGTGTATGTATGTATGTATGTATGTATGTAGGTATGTAGGTATGCGTGTATGCGGGTATGAGAAATTTCACGAGAAAATTCGCAGAGAAGCAACAGGGGCTTTCCTGAACTGATTGACCTGCGTTTCATGTTCTTGGAGAGTGCAGATGGCAGGGCAAGTTTTGGCTCATTGATTCTTGGTCTGCACCATGCCTCCTAAACAGGAGCGTGTTTGGCACTTCGACTCCCTGCAACCTGTGGAGTCGACCGTTGGACTTTGGGAGGCTTGCTAAAGCTGGGTAGAAAAGAAAAGCAAGAGAAACTGCGCTTCGTTCCGTCCCAGCTCAAGAAGAGATGTACTGTGATTGGCGATTGCAAGCGGCACTCAGGCTGTTCTCTGCAGTATCGATTCCAGTTGGAGAGCAACAAAGATCCTGCAGGGCGATGTGTTTCGAACTTTTTTGAATGTGGTGCGTCTGCAAGAAACCCATTTCACTCCAGAAACGCTCCAGAACAGGAAAGCCGCCTTGCAGTCCCTGGGATGGAATCTTTTTGCGGAGCCAGCAACCGCCTCAGAGAAAGACACACGGCTGGGAGGAGGAACGGCAATAGCCTACCCGAAGAACAGCGGAGTACGGGAGAAGACATTGTACCAGCACCAAGGAGCGGGCTTCGTCTCTGTGGGATTGAGACAAGGCAGCTGGGACTACATCGTCATCTCTCTGCACAGAGGGAATAAACGGCCCCCTTGGTGCCCTATGTCAGATGTTCTGGGAGACTGGAGTGTCGACCCCACTGAGGTCCAGGACACAACGATCTGCCAAGTGATGAGAGGGAGGTTGCTGGCCACAGAAGAGGCCTTGCAACCACGGAGCCGAACTGGACAGGCTTTGTAGTGGTTCTCTTCGGATTGCCCGCAGAAGCATGTTGCTGGAGACCGGTCTATGACATTATGAGAAGGCTTGAGCCAAGATGTGGAGATCTTCTGAGCTGTTCCAGCATTCCCTTCCCGGGGGCTGTTTCGTTTCCAGCCAATTCAAGGCGGGCAGGCGTTCATTCTAGGCAAGGGCGGATTGCCCGAATGCTGGAACCGCTTCCTTTAAGAATGGCGTCAGCTTACAGCAAGTCGGCATCGATTCGATCTCCAACAGCCCTCGCTTCGAGTTTCAGTCAAGAGGTACGCTGCATGTCCACATGATCTTATGGTGCAACCTGGTGCGCTGCATGCAAGGCCGTCGACCCCGCGGCCAAGACCGGCGGGTCCATGTGCAGATGGTTTGGGGAATTTCTTAAGACGTGCAGTGCAGGGACGGCGCGGCAATGACATTTCCATTCGTCGACATCTATTTTGAAGCTTGGGCCGCCAGTTGCCTCCCCGACATCTTCGCCCCTGATTGCCCTGGCGAGTGCCCCGCAAGGTTTTCCGATGAGTTGTGCAGACGCATCTAAAAGCAGTGCTTTTGTCTCGACAACTTTCAAGCAGACGCCACCCACTGGGAGTTTTTTTTTGCGGACCTCAACAAGTTTTTCAATCTGCTCGAGCCAGTTGGAAATGCGTGGTTTAGGAGTCGATCGTATCCGAGGCTTCAAAGCCAAAGTCCGAGCCGCAGCCATGATGCTGAAGAAGATCGCGACGGCAAGAAGGACCACATCAACTGGACCGCTCGTCCCATGCCTGGCATGCCAGAAAACATTTGGTTCAAGCAGCAAAAGGAAGTCCCGAGCGCGTCGCCGCAGGAATCAGCGTCGAAGATGCCGCCATGGTACGGAAGTCATGTCGAGTTCTGCAACCGGGCAGGTGGGCCTGGCGCAGGCAGGACCGAGGTCGTCGTTGCGGCCACAGACAAAGCACTGAGGAACGGCTGCAAAGTGCTCATTGCCGGCCCATTGGACTACTTGTCAGCATGTAGCGCGCAAAATTCCCGCCTCATTCAAATTTGACCATGGAAACACTGTACTCGCCTTTCCAGGTCGTCAGAGAGGAAAAATGCTCCATACGTTTCCCCAAGTCGTCTGCTTCACTTCGGCCTCATCATCTTCGATGAGATTTCCCAGATCGAGGCAGCAGTGTGGGCGAAATTGAAAGTGGCCCTCGGAGAATTGCAGCCGGCTTTGGCAGATGAGATTCCGTCGCAAGTTGCGCTGGATTTAATCTAGACATGTTTGCAGTGTTTGTATTCTTCTCTTGGAAAATGGAAGTTCGTAGACTGTTGACTGCAGCCTCCTTGTACACTGTCACTGGTCTGCTAATTTGAGTGCGGGCCATACAGTAATGTTGCGGCCTGTGCTGCCTGTTGGCCCTCAATTGTGCCGAGCACAAGCACTTATGCCGCTGAGATCGTGCAAAGTTACTTGAGTGCCAGCTGAGAGCTGGGACGCGAAATCGGAAGCACATAGTATCATGAGTTGTTAAGTTGAGAATCGAACATAAGTGGCAACCCAATGGGTTCGATGGGGGCGTAACAAACGTTTTTTGAGCGGCCATCGAAACGTTGCGGGTGCAACCCTGGCGCAGGCTTAGAACAAATACAACGCGCTTTGTGCTTTTTTGCAATTTGCAAGGCTAAGTCCAGACAACAGCGTTGATGCCATGTTTTGTATATCAACGATGGCAAGAGTTGTATTGTCACAAGTTTCCGCGTCGCGGCCAGTTTTTTTCAAAACATGTCGCCCCGCGATTCCCCGCGATTCTCCCTCGTGTGTAGCAGGCCAGCCTCCAGAGGATCTTTTTCCGCAAGGTCCGGAGTGGAGGATGTTCTATATTCGGCCTTGGGGTTGAAGCACGCTCCTGGGTCAAGGTTGTGATAATTTTCGGATGCATGCCGTGTTTTTGCTTCCACCACTTGATTTCTTGCTTTCGGTCCAGACAAGTATGCACGAAGCTTTTATTTCTGTGATTAAATTTGGGCATCAGCCCTGAACGCTCCAGATGACCAGCGTTCATGTGTACAGGGGCCTATCCATTAGAATAGTTATGCCCGCACACATTTGTTCTTCACCCAGCTTGTCAAGCAGTTTCACTGTGACCCCGAAGGCTCGACCCAGAGGCTGAAGCAGAACCCAGCCAGAGCTCTGAGAAGATTCTGTGCGAGTGCAGGTTGTGGTAGGTGTGTTTAAAAAGGTCTGCACTGGCCGCAGTATTTTCATTTTTGGAAACTTAGGCTTGGGAAGGCCCCGTGCCCATTAACTTTCCAGGGATATCCACAAGCGTGGTTTGTGCGTCTTCAAGCTTTACCTATTGACCAGCGTCTTGATATCTCCGTCATTTCGGCGAGTTGGCTTTTCTCAAAGGTACCTATGCTTGTCAAAGACTATATGAAGATACGTGACTCCTCAATAATTTCCGTGTTATTTCATTCACTAAGCATGGGTGCGCAATTTGGTTTCCGAAAAATATCGCTCCATTTCGCAGCTGTACACACTCTACGCCGAGTGGTATAACTATTTGAGACCATGGCATTCTATGCCCTCTTCCTTGATTGGTCCACGATGTTGGATTGAAACTGTTATAATTTTCCCCCATCACTCTGCTATCCAAAACTACAAGCCGCCCGACCAGAAATTCAGTCACGTCAGACCTTTGTGAGTGTCTAAGCATCTGAGCGTTTGCGTGTCTGAAGATATATGTATTTGAGAGTCTTAATGTCTGTGAGCGACTTGTTTGACCGTCGGAGTGTCTGGTTTCAAACAAGAACCGTCAAACCCAATGAAAAACAGGTTAAACAGGTCTGTGGGGAGAATGACATGTTCGTTACGCCGCTGCAAAAATGATTATTCCCCCAACCAACAAATGGGGTTTGTCTGATTACGAGAAGATCTGATCATGGCAACGGTGCTGAAAATCGGATTCAGCCACAGAACGCCTCGGAAGGGTCAGGAGGGCAGTTGTACTGACATGCGCCCGCAATATGAAGTAATTGAGCTACGGGAGCACCAGCTACCACCACCTGTTGGTGGGTTCAGGGTTGTGATTTTTTTATGGACAGCACCCGAGACGGACCGCCAAACGACTGTTGTTTTGAGTATGAAAGGACAGGCACGGATGGTCGAAGCATGTACGACTACAGTTGGCCCGAAGCTTGCATATGCAAGTTGGGAACAAAACGTAAGGAACGTAAGGAACAATGAATCCGTTATGAACGGCCGTGTTTTACAGCGGGTTGTCATACCAACACACTTTCCATGTTCCATGAATATCGGGTGACTGAACCGATTTTTTCAGCGGTATCTTGAAGCATGGCATTCTTTGTTTTAGCGTGTGCATGTGCGCACATGTGCCCTGCGTAGAAGTTTTTGGTTCAGTACAAATCCACACATGAATGTCTAGGTCGTCCATGGTGCACTGGGTTGGATGATTCAGCACGCAACGGCAACACGTATTGCAGTACGCATTACAGCTGTTGTTGTCACATACTTGCCGCCGGCAGTTCTGCAGCCATGCAGGCCGGTTGACATGTGCTGGTGGTACAACGTGTGGGGGAGCAGTTTGGCTATCCACACCATCTGGCCAAGTGGTCCCAACAATGTTCGTTGAATCGAGAAGTCTTGTAACCATTGTAGTCGAATTTCGGTTTGTTCGTCCAAAAATGTGAAGCTGCATGCTGTTCTTGCAGGCCATGTTGCATCAACAACAACTGCCAGCATCACCATCACCGTCTGCAACTGCAAAGGCCCGTTGTTGCGAGATGTGTGGTGCGGAAGTGTCAATGTTGCCATGTACAACAATGTACAGCATCATTTTATATGGCGGTATTTTGCGGTGCACGCATGTTGCAGGCGTTGCTAGAGCCTGTGGTCGAGGGGACCGGCGTGCAGTGGCTTCACGAGTGTACTGCGGCATGCATGGGCAAGGTTTGATTCTTCGACCCTCCCTGGCATTCGCAGGATCCGATTAGGTGGCCTCGTGGAGGTCTTTGGCCTCTCAGCGGCCGACTTGCAGGCCGCTTAAACTTGTTGAGGCTTGCGTATTCTTGGGGGCGGCGCGTTGTGGGGCAGGCTTACAACGAGGACATCAATGGCTCCATCGGACAGGCCTGATTAACAAAGTTGGAGAAGAGCCGGAAGCTGGAAACGTTGCCACATGATATGCAAGGCAGTGAGCTTCGATAGTGCTTCTGGCAAGTTCCATGTGTACCTCAGCTGTGGTGCTGTGCTTTCCCCGGATCTTTCATTCGGAGAACCAGTGCACAAATGCTTGCTAGAAACAGTTCGTTTGAGGCTGGCCACTTCCGTACCAGCAATGTGAGGGCCGCGGAGGCATCATGTCTTCTTGTAAACGCATTGGGGTACTTGAAGGTTCATGAATATTCTTACACGTGGGGTTAGAAGTAGGGTAACTGCATTTAAAGCCTGGTTATAACCTTTTTCCGGGTACTTCTAACCCTATGCATGTGGAAGCAGGCGCCGCGGCGGCCTGGTGAAGGTGGTTCGCCAGAGAGCTTTGATGTGTCGGCCTTTGTGCGTTTCTTCGTGACATGAAAGTTGGGATGTTCCCATTTATACTACCAGTCCTGAATAGGGATTATAAGAGGGGTTCCTGTAAATTCTTTTAAGGATGGCTCGTATAGGCGGGAACATGCCAACATTAAAGCTGCTTTGCATCTGTTCTGTGCACGTCCACATGCGCGACATGCGTGCTGCGTAATCTAGGTGCTTGTTGGACCTCGAACAGACGGCAAAATTATGGGCGGCGAGATTTCCACTTGCCTTATGGAGTCGCTTGCATGCAAGTAAGCGCCGGGTCGCATCCTTTCACTCACAAGTTCAGGACTCATTGAGTTGTGATGAGTCTAAAGCAGAATTGGTTTGCTGTCAGGAAAGGGTTCTGCGTTTTGAGAATCTGCCAAAGCCTGGGCCACGGTAGTTCTTCGCATGTGACCATTTCATTAGGCTATAAGCAATAGTACGTCCGTTCAAACACGTCCGCAGGCGCGAGACTGGCACAGCAAGCGCTGCTGAGAATGAAGGCGGCTTGTCTGGTTACCATGATGCTGCAGCAGCAGGGTTCGCTTCATCGTGCCCGTTGCAGGACCTGGCAAGTATGCAAAGACTGCTTGGCGCTCAGCCATCAGTCGGTCATGTGGCATGCGCCTGAGCTCGGAGCTTAGGACACGCTTTCCGGAAGAGGTGGAGCAGGGCTACCTTGGTATGGACCCCAGAGCCTCAGGGTGCAATCCTCAACCAGGGGAGTGGTTGCACCCATGCACCCCAACCTCGGCTTCTGAGGCTTTAGCTGTCGAGGAAGGGTTGCATGGCTGGATTCCGCCGGAGACCTGGATCAGGAGAGGCTCCTTGAAAGAATGAATACAAAATATATTTACTTATATACGTATGTATATATATATATATATGTGTAATTATAGTGCAGGCTCAGAATCGAGGCGTCCTCTGAAGCGCCTCAGTGAGCAGGACCCAGCCTTGAAGAGCAACGACGCCAACCTCTCCTACCTCGCACAGGCATCCTACTTGGGGGGGGTCCTTTTTCGGGCACCTCAAAGCTTTGCTGAGCCTAAACCCTAAACCCTAAACCCTAAACCCTAAACCCTAAACCCTAAACCCTAAACCCTAAACCCTAAACCCTAAACCCTAAACCCCAAACCCTAAACCCTAAACCCTTGGTGTGCTGATTCTGAGCCTCGGTGTGCTGATGCTGCTTGCCAGTCTATTCAGCCGTATGCTGGCGATGTCTTGGACGGCCAGCTGGACTCGCGAACTCCTGGTTTGGTGGCTGGCCTCGGCTTAGTGGCATATACTTAGATATATGTAGAATATATTCAATTTGTATATAGTTTTGCATATGTATATAAGTCTATATATATATATGCATATATATATATATATATGGTGGGAACCCTTTTGGACCAAGGTGTGCCTCACCATCGATGGTGCTGCTGACTCTGAGTATCCATGTCCAGAGGTCTGGAAAGCCTGGCAAGCGTGTCAGACGGCCTTTCATGGCCTTTTCTGATTAAGCACAGGCCAATGACGAGTCTTTGGGAACCTTCCTGCAGACGTGGAGGCTGGAAGTTCCGAACTTCGGGGTACCTTCTTGGGGTCCTTACTTTATGGGAATCCTATGGGGTTTATTCGAGGGGATTCCCAATCAGAATTCTAGGTTCCAGCGCATGGGGCAAGTCTTTGCATGCAGCAAACGAAGGCGCAGCTTGGTCAGAGCCGTGCATTTCATGGGGTCCCCATCTTACAGCTGCTTTCCGCCGTCTGGCTTGCTGCTGCGCAGCAGAAGAACAACGACCTTTGACTCGTTTTTTGAGGCCGTTCCCGGCCGAAGTGGAGCTGGACGCACGGGAAACTCCGAAAGCTGGCAAGGCTTGACGGGTGTTGACTGCCTTTGACTGCCTCAAGCCTTCTCAATCGCCTTTGCCAAGACATCTAGTGAATCTAGTGAAGGAGTGTTTGCCAGTTGGAGCTCGCGTTTCACTTCTTGGTCGCCATAGGGGGCACTCAATTCATATTAGGTTCCGGGCTTGCTCGAGAACGTGAAGCTCACAGCTGCACCGAACACGGTTCTGTGTGCGCCCCGGGCACGGCAGCGGAATCTCTTCTCTGTATTGCCGTTGTGCAATCGGGACCTCCGTCGCGGCCCAACCTGCTCAGGTTGTTCAGACCCGATGTCTACGATTACACTTGTGAGAGCTGACATGTTTAGGGGTCAGGGATGGTCTCAGAGCTTCCTTTAGGTCGCCTGCGTGTAGGTCGGTAGGTAGAATTACGACTGGGCAAAACTAGCACCGTCACGTGAGCATGAAGATAGCAGGCAAAGATAGTGAGACGCCTGTCAAAATACCAAGCCAGCATGACGGAATGACATAACAGTACGACATTATGACATTGCAACATTTCGATGTGCTACGACATTCTGACATTATGACATTGTGACGTTATGACATTATGGCAGTACAACATTATGACATTATGACATTCTGACATTATGCCATTATGACATTATGACATTATGTCACTCTGACAGTATGACATTCTAGCATTCTAACGTTTTAACATTCAACATGCATCCCCAGAACACAACAGCCTTGTTATTGTCAATTGTTCTGATTGTTCCAACATCTCCACACGGTCTATGGTAGTGGCTAGTTGCTTGTTGACTGGTGTGTTCTAGCCATGCCTCGATATGCTCTCGATTGGCTACTGCTTGAATGGTAGAATGTTGGAATGTTAGAGTGATAGAGTGTCTAGAATATTAGTATGTTAGAATGTCGAAATCAATAATGTCATACGGTATAAAGTTTCGATGTTGTCATGTCAGCATAACATAGCAATATAAGTTCAATAATTAAACACAATCATGTTATGCTGGTGGCGCTCACTGGACTGGGGTTCGTGGACAGTGTGCACAAGCAATTCGCACTGTTTCGGGATGTGTCGTGTTGCTCTCAGCTTTGTATCCCAAGGAGGCCATTCGATTTGTCAGGAATAGCATGCAAGAAAGTAGATGAAGCAAAGGACTGGGCCTACTGTGTTTTTTCCCTAGAAGTGACAACGAGGAGGTTTAGTGAGCAATGCCAGCAACCCAGTAGGGAATGAGGGAATGAGGGCCCTAGATACCCGTGAAGGGATTGCATAGGGCCCTGATTCCCTCATTCCCTACTAAGAACCAGCCAGTCAATGGGTTTTTTGTCGAACCCAAAGACTGCTTTCTCTGCCAGGTGTGGCACCAAAGGATACCCTGATGCTCATCACCAACTTTCTCGCCGCCGTTCCCGACATGGTGCGCCCAAGTGCCTGTCGGTCTCAGGGTTTAGGGTTTAGGGTTTGGGGTTTAGGGTTTAGGGTTTAGGGTTTGGGGTTTAGGGCTATGAGTGCCCCTGCCTTGAGGTTTTTGGTGACATTCAAGGGGACACGGACTGGCTGCTGAAGGAGGAGGGCCCTCCGCCTCCGGCTGGCTCCGAACATATCCATGCAAGATCCCCGCTTTCTTGAGGCATTGTGGCAGGTGCACTCATTTCTTTCGCATCACCTGGATCTTGAATGTTGCGTGGCCTGACACGGCAAGCTAAGGTCATGAATACAGTTGCACGCCTTCCGGGCAATTGCGACAGCAAGGAGCTCATGTCCGATCCGCTCACGGCAGCTTTTTTGAGGGGGGGTGTGCTATTATGCATCGTTGCTAGCTTGCCTGTCCCGGTTAAATGGTTCCAAGAAAGAGATCCCTACCAGAATGAATGGAGTCAGACCGGCTTAATTTGACAATCGTTGCCGCAGTTCGATGCGTTTATACTAGTGCGGCAGCAGACTTGCGTACTACGTTGTTTGTAAAGGTGGTTGGGGGTTTTCAAGAACCTCCCAATGCGCGTTGGTAAGAGCGCTTCTTGTCCTTGCGGATCTTTTCAGGAAAGATGTAGCTTCGCGGTTGGAGCGGTTCGGTGGCCAGGTTCCCCACAGCACAAGATGCCATGATGCCGCAAAGCATGCGGTACGGTAGCAGGGTTGCGGGTTAAAGGTGTATCGGAGGGGCACACTGCGGCACACTTGGCCACTAGCCGTTCGCGTTGCGCTTCTTGCTGCCCTCGCCAATGTGCGGAGGTCAGTGGCATAATTGGGCTGCGCTGAAGTCTGGCACGGACACGATCATCCAGATCCCAATCACACGTCATCCTCTCAGTGCTCTGCCCATCCGAACCCGTTTCGAAATTCTGGGGCTTTGGTCGTAAGGCTGGGATGTCAGCGTATACTGGACTCCCGATGAGAATGTTTTTGAGCCCTGGCAGACCACGTGCTTGCCTGAGGATGCCAGGTCTAATGCAGCAGAAGTATGCTTCAGCCAATAAGTCAATAGATGCGAAGAGGGTGTGGGCAAGTGCTGGCATCACAAGGACCCGGCACCAGTCGTACGTCGAGGGTGCCGAGTTTTTTGACAATCGTTATTTCGAGATCTCCAACAATGAGGCTGCAGCGAAGTTGGCTTTGTACCGATAGGCTTCAGCCTCCATACAGTGGCACCCGGGACCGAATTCCACCCTAAACCCTAAACCCTAAACCTAAACCCTCAACCCTCAACCCTCAACCCTAAACCCTAAACCCTAAACCTTAAGCCCTAAGACCTGAACCCCAGACCCCAGACCCCATGATACATCCCCCGCTCTCCTACTGTATGCGGGCCTCGCCTATGTGGCTCTGAACAGGCCAACTCCATGGATCCCGTGCAGCGACTGGTGCTTGAGTGTCGGACCGGCAGATTTCGAGAGCCCAATACCCCCCCTTTGGGGATGGCCCAAACAGGGGGGGTTTAGGGTTTAGGGTTTAGGGTTTAGGGTTTAGGCATGAGGGTTTAGGGTGTATGATCCTTATTTTAGGAGCCCTGTGTGTGTGATTGTCTGGGGGTATCGGCCTCTCTGAGAAGAGTTAGCAATGCAATGCCTTCAGTGAAGAGGGATGGCGCGTTAGGTGGGGCACAGAGCATGGCCATGGTTGGCCTGACGAAGAAGGACGCGTGTGCTGTGTGTTGCCTTGGGATGTTACCCCCCTTTTTTTCTAGCAGCTCCTTGAAAGGGATTAGAATAGGAGGGGGTTTAGGGTTTGGGGGTTTAAGGTTTGGGGTTTTGGGTTTAGGGTTTAGGGTGGTGCTAGATTCCCTTTGACGGGCTGTTAGTATAGGGGGGAACATCCCAATGTTTGCTTCCTCCGTGTGCTTGGATGAATGTCGGACCAGGAATGCAATCGAAAAGCAACACATGCCGGGTTCTGCGTGGGAAATGACAAGCTGGCTTCTGCCTTGGTTCGTGACATGTGGCGTGTGCTGGCTGATTGAAGGGCAGCAGCCGAGGATTGGATGACCTGTGACAAGGAGGTGACTCCTTCTGGAACCAGCACGGTCTTGCTCCAAGTCTCTGGGTTCTCTGCAGTGGAAGACGAGTTGCCGTCGCTTGCTCGAGGTCCTGGCGATCATTGCGAATCGTTTCAGCTTCGTATTCAACCTAAAGGGTGTGCAGCCGAGAAAGGGGCTTTAGGGTTTAGGGTTTCGTGTTTAGGGTTTAGGGTTTAGGGTTTTGGGAGTTTTGGCAGATGTGTTGTCGGGCTCGGTGCTGCGGCTACAGTGCCTGCTCTCTCCCTGGGAACTTAGGTCCGAACTTCGTGTGCGACACAGCTTGCTCAGCTTCCTTGACCTCAACGTCGGAGCCTCTTGAGTGACTGATGCAGACTTGCGCTTTGCACTTGCCCCTAAACCCTAAACCCTAAACCCTAAACCCTAAACCCTAAACCCTAAACCCTAAACCCTAAACCCTAAACCCTAAACCCTAAACCCTAAACCCTAAAACCTAAACCCTAAACAAACCCTAAACCCTAAACCCTAAACCCTAAACCCTAAAAAACCTAAACCCTAAACCCTAACCCTAACCCTAACCCCTAAACCCTAAACCCTAAACCCTAAACCCTAACCCTAAACCCTAAAAACCCTAAACCCTAAACCCTAAACCCTAAACCCTATACCCTAAACCCTAAACCCTAAACCCTAAACCCTAAACCCTAAACCCTAAACCCTAACCCCTAAACCCCTAAACCCCTAGACCCTGCACATTGGGGATGCTTTTGCAAGGCATTGTGCCAGATTCATGATCAGTCGCCGGCCTCAGCACCTCTCAGGAGGCAGTTTTAGGGTTTAGGGTTTAGGGTTTAGGTGCTCATGGACGCCGATGGTGATCTGGGATGCTGAGGCAATCAGAAGTTCGACCCGCTGGAGTTCTTCATCTCGATGGGCGCCCCCCCGGAAGTTCGTGTGTGTGTGTGTGTGTGTGTGTGTGTGTGTGTGTGTGTGTGTGTGTGTGTGTGTGTGTGTGTGTGTGTGTGTGTGTGTGTGTGTGTGTGTCTGTGTCTGTGCGTGTGTGTGTGTGTTGGTGTGTGTGTGTGTGTGTGTGTGTGTGTGTGTGTGTGTGTGTGTGGTGTGTGTGTGGTGTGTGTGTGTGGTGTGTGTGTGTGGTGTGTGTGTGTGTGTGTGTGTGTGTGTGTGTGTGTGTGTGTGTGTGTGTGTGTGTGTGTGTGTGTGTGGGGGGTTGGGGGGGTTTTCAGGGGGTTTGAGTAGGGAGCCAGTGCCCTAAACACCAAAACCCTCCAGCCCCCGACAGACATCTGAAAACGCATCTTCGAGGTGCCCACTTGTGCCTCTCTCCTGGCCCCTTCATTGGCTGCTCTCAATCTCACATGCCGAGTGCCGAGAAAAAGGGCGTGGTGTTGCTTTCTTCTGGCATGGTCCCGCCGAGAGACTTGCGGAACTGTGCTTTGAGAGTAGTGGCAAGGATGACCTAAACCCTAAACCCTCTCAGTAGACAATGCCCAGCTGCCTAAGGTCCAGTCCCGGGGGACGATGCTTCACGTTCAATGCGTCTGCAGATGGTGCCTACCTCGGTGAACGTCCTGCACTGGTCGCCAAGTAGGTTCAAGCGGCATCTTGCTATGAGCGTCACAAGGCACCCCTCCCCCCCACCATTAACAGCATGGCCTCACGGACAGGATATCTACGAGGAGAAGGTGTCAGCACTGACCTCGGCACACAACTCGCAGGTCTTCCACAGTGCCTGGAGTCTATGGAACTGAGTGTATCTCTTATTTGTCAAGGTGGCTTCATGATGAAATGGGGCCCCTACACTCCGGAGCAGAGCATGGGGATCCTCCGTTCCACCGGGTGCGGACAGGCACGCGACACGAGTTCTGAGCAAGTGAAAAGATCGATGCCCACAAGCACCAAGAGATGCTCAAGACCATGGTGTCTTCTTCCCCGCTCCTTCAAAACCAAGTCTGGGACGTGAAGGGGAGGTTGGCGTGTCGTCGGAACATGCACCGGCTTGTTGAGTTTGCGTGCGTCTGCTGGCCGCACAGGGAGCAGCTTCCTGCGTGCGCTGACACAAATCTCCCTGCTGAGTTATCTCTTGGGACAGCTATAGTAGACACTACAGGGATGCTTTCCATCATGTTCCCAGCTTCAGTCATGTACTCGTAGGGCAGGGTGGATGCCTGAGAAGAGGGACCGGTACTTTTCGTTGTCGAGTGCAAGGTTGCATACATTGCGTGCAGGCTCAGCAGATGTATGAACTACAACCTAAACCCTAAATCCTCAGCCCTGAACCCCAAACCCTAAACCCCAACCCTACATGTCAACAGGACGGCCGCAGCGCCTCTCTGACAGCTCCAAACGGGCCGGCACAGGAAGAGCTGGTGGCGAGGGTGCCCTGCCAAGTGGGATACTTGCTGAAGTTCACCATGCCTTCCGCGGCCTTTGACCCATCAGGCAATAAAGGAAGCCTTGATGACACCTCCCGAGTCCACAGCCCCGCCCTTGGTCCTCAAGTTGCGGGTGGCGCGCAGAGCTTTCGTTGGGCATGGTGGGAATCCCGCACTGCTGTGAGGCTTGGGAGTGCCATGGCGGTGGCCTAAGGGGGGAAGTGATGGCCATGAGTCTGTCGAAAAGAGCATGACACTTGTAGTTTTAAAGCTATTTTTACCGCTGTTGAAGTCACACATGTGGGGTCCTTCTTTGGGCCCTCGACTTGAAAGTGCCTTCAGCTTCAAGCGTGGCATAGCTGGCCTCGCTCGACAAGGCTTTCTGGGCTGGTCAGGGGGGGTCGGAGGAGCTTTCGGCAGCTGGAGGGTTGGAGGCAGGGGTGATCTGGAGGCCTGGAAGACCGGTCTGCACCCCAATGAGGCCCCGGACCTTGGACTTGTGCTTTACCCCACCTTTTTTGGAAATGTCCGGGGGTGTATACAGTTTGCACGCGGCCGCGCGGTGTTTGTTCCGGGAAAGAGCTGTGGACGATTTCTTTTTTCAAATGCGCAACATGCCATCAATGGTTTGGGGAACCGGCTTTTGTTGTTCATGTCCAGGACATGTGCCGCAGCTCATACTCCGGCTGAGGCACAGGCACTTCGCTCGGCGATCCGATCGAGGCTGGCGAAGATGTCATGCTGATCTACGATGGGGGTCGGACTAGAAACTAAATAGCATTCCCTTACGGTCCCCCTGTAATTTTACTTTAGTAGCCCTGAAAACCCTATCTTAATTGTTCAGGCCCCTTATATTAATCACTCTTGGCAGTTCTGTTGGGCATCAACGCGTGCAGGTCGGAGCTGTGCGAAAGGTGCAGATCAGAATGCCACGAACGGAGCCGTCCTGCGGGCAAAGTTGGTGCAAGCTGGGATAATCCGCCTTATGCTAACAGTCCTTAATCGGGATTATAGTACCCCGCTATGACAATCCCTATGGCGGAACTGTTAGAACAAGAGGGGGAACATCATCCCAAGGTGCACGTCCTCTAAACACTCCATCAAACCCTCAAGGCCCTCGTAGGGCAAGCCTTCAACGCGGCAGGCTCATGATGGGTTCGGCCAAGACGAACATCGGACATTTGGAGGGTGGTGCTGCCGGAGCCCCATGTGGGGGTTTGCGAAAATAAGGGGCCCCGAAGTTAGACCCCCAAAGCGTAGGGTTCCCTTGTAATATGGATCCCCAAAAAGGTACACCTACCTGAAACTGTGTGGTCCCAAGCTTTTTTTCGCTGTTTCTCACCGCCAAAGCCACCAAGGCCATGGGCGGCATTGTAAAATGCATCCTACAGTGCAGAAGTGCCAAGTGTTGTCCAACACAGTCACGCCGGCGCGTTGCTGATGGCGAGTTCTTGTACCTGCGTTTTGTGCAAAGAGGGCGTAAGCAGCGCATCTTGCCTGTAGGCCAGCAGCTAGCACGAAGGTCGAAGCGAAGAGCCTTACATCATGCCAGGCACTTGCGGACGCTCAACCCGCACTTGGAGCACGCCAAGTTCGAGGCGCACTTCGAGACCGAGCCGGCGGCATTCGTTCTTCACCCGGATTTTGTGTTGGCTCTGACTCGGTGCGCTGTGTGCCAGCTTGCGTGGTTGATGCTTGGTTCGGAACGCAGGGGCAGCCTTCATCCATTTCATCCATGCAAACCTCCTACCAGTGGCATGTAAGAGTGTGGAGTAGCTTGACTGCCTCTGGGCCTTCTCAACACCGTAGCCAGAGCATATGAATTTATTGGATGGAGATTATGAACCCTGAGCCCTCGGTCTCAGAAAGGGGTGCCTGTTTTGCTTTGGTTCTAAGGTAAATCTCAGGGTACCAGCATCACCGCAATGGATTCAGGGTTTTCCCGGGTATAAGGGGACCACTCTTTTGTTGGGAATTCATCTGGACCGAGGCCACAAACCAGGGCAACTCCCAGGTATCCTCCTTCGGCTTCGGTGGCAGCACCCTCGGGAAGAAACATGCAGCGAGAATACCAGTTGTTGTGAGATCAACGCCCCGGCTTAATCTGGGGGGATCACCGAGCATATATATATATATAGAGATGGATAGATAGATAGATAGATAGAAAAAAGTATATATATACACATATGTATATATGTATCAATCAATGAATATAAGGGGAATCAGTGCGAGGGCCCGTGCGCTGGCGCAAGCGCGTGATCAGAAGAGGATGGTGTGTGTGTGTGTGTGTGGGTGGGTTTTGTTGATCAAGGCGATGCACCGGAAGCACACCTGAACATCCACACTCCTCTTTGTGAAACCCAGTGGCATGTCGCAGTTTGTGTCGAGTTATGAAGCTCTGCATCAAGGCTGACACGCCACATGAGGCTTCTAAAGAAAACTCGTGAACTCGTGCAGGCCCCTTCGGGGTCACTACTATAGAATATTAAGCACTGGGCCAAGAGTGTCGCTCTACAGTCCCCCTTGGAAATATGTTGCATTTCTGTTGATACTGTGTCTGCTAGAATATTGTGGTATTCATATCCTGGTTCTAAGGGCAGCATACAAGCAGGGCCAACGAGGTGACTTTGCGTGGCAGACTAGATGGAGACAATCTGCAGAAAATCAGCATGCCAGAGGGCTTTGCTGCTATCGACATGAAAAACAATGTCCAGCGCATGGAGTTCACAAACTTCTGTCGACCGGGAAGCCTTCAGCCCTCAAGGCACAAATGCGCATGGTGTCTTCTGGGGCATGAACGTCAGCATCAAGGAGGACCGCACTTTACGGGTACACATGTTGGCATGTGGGGGTTGCCGAATAGAAGGGACCCCCCAAAATAGAGCCCCAAGTAGTAAGATGCCCTCAGAGTAAGGACCCCAATAAGGTACCCCCTACTCTCGGAAACCCCCATGTTGATTCTTTTGTCAAATCAACTGTCCTGTGCGGTCGTTTTGCGTAAAAAGTCTCTACGATCACGAGGCGCCTCGCACTCGGTCGTTTCCAAGTCTACTCCACACAGTGATGGTGCCAGCGATGCTGTTTTCCAGGATGTCGAGAAGGTGTGGATGAAGAAGTTGCTGTCGAGACCGCCCCCTGAAGTCCGCCCCATGGGCGGGCCCCCTGGTGTCGGCAAGTTCTGGCCCGCACGCGCAGCCTTCTTTCCCCAATGCACTTCGTGCTTGAGTCACTGCGAGTTTTGGCAGACCAGAGGTCTGGACTTTGACAAGTGGGAAGCTGACTTCCCAGACACGCGAATGGTCCGAAAGGGGGCCAAGTCGTGGGCTCAGTGCCAAGCGGAACCCGGTGCCCCGGCCAGTGTGTTGAAGCCCAGGTTCAGCCTCAGCATGGGACCTGACGAAGGCAACGAACCCCTGAGGCAAGTTGCGGGCGTCTGCTGGCATTTGCTGGCCTTTGCTGGCCTTTGCTGGCCATGAGGACCTCATTAGAGCGCACGCTCTCCGGAGCAAGTTTCCGCACAGGTGGGATGTCGTGGATGAAAGGCGGGAAATTGAGGTAGATGACATGGAGGCCACTTTCGTGCGGCACCCGGATGGGGGATCTCACCGTGCACAGGAGGTTGAAACGGCTAGTGACTTGTCGGTATGCTACCCTCACTTGCAACGACGTTGCTGCTTTAGAGGGGTGAGGTGGATGAAAGCAGGAGGGCAGGAGTGATACTCACAAACTTGCTCACCTGTTTTTTTTTGTAACGCAGTGACTTTCTCATACTCTCAACTGTCAAGTGTTTTGTTTGAGGATGCTGGTTACTCCCATTATGCGTTGCAACAGTCGCAGCAACTGAGGCCCTCCTGCCGAGGTCACCAGGTATGAGAACCTCCGAACACTCTGACATGCAGCGAAACCTCTGAAACCACGGGCACCCCGGAGTCTCACGCAATCGAGCCCCCACTCCCTCAACCAAACCCGCCATTTCCCGGAAGTTCCCGGGGGGCCAGGCGAGTGTGGTGTGTGGCCTCTGAAAGCACACGGGTTGCACCTGACTTCTGAACCGCTGGCAGTTGTAGAAGCAAAGGTGCTCGCAAATCAGGATGAGCCCTTGCAGTTTAGGGAGCCGTTGACGGAGAGCAGATTCATGACTAAGGCAATCACCGGAAATTTCAACAACTGGGATGATGAAGAGGCGCGATCCTTGCTGGTGGCCCTAAACCCCATTCCCACCCCTACACTCTTAACCCTAAACCCAAAACCCCCCGAAAACGCCAAAATTCGGTGCAGGCGATCCCAATGGAAGATGGCGAAGCGCCGGGAGTCCATCGCATCACCTTGCAGGCCAGCCCTGCACGAATCATGGGTTTAGGGTTTAGGGTTTGGGGTTTGGTTGAAGGTTTAGGGTTTAAGGTTTAGGCGGCACCCGCTGCCCAGGTGCCAGCAGGTGGCGAGCTGCACTTTCACCTCCTTAAGGGAGGAAATGCCAAGCAGATCGTTGGCATCTGCCCCAGCAAAGGGGAAGACGCTCTTAAGACCAACTGTTGTCATCAGCTTGCTGGCACAACATGGTGCGCACGCCAGCGAACAAAGGCCCTGATGCTGAGGAGTGCACTCGAAAGGCCGAGTTTGAAGAGGGGTCTAAAACCCTAAACTAGGGCTTAGGGTTTAGGGTTTAGGGTTTTGGGTTTAGGGCTTAAGGTTCAGGGTTTCGGTGCCCTAAACCCTAAACCCTACATCTTCTGGCCGCAGGGCGCAAAGATCATCGGGCCCCAGGAGAATCTCAAGAACAAGTGGGCAGGGAAGCCAAAGATGACAGGAGGTTTGGGGTTTAGGGTTTAGGGTTTAGGGAGGTAGAAGGGAATAAGGTTCTTGCGGTTCCGATGTTTTGCATAGGGCGCTTTTTGCCGGTAAAAAGAGTCTCTCTGAATCCGGTTTCTGAGAGAGTTGTTAGCTCTCAGGTCATCAACGCCCCAGAGGGCAAGGAGGTCCGAATCGAATTTTTCAGTCGAAATGGCCCGGGTCTTGACGCGCCTTTGCACGCGGGCGCGGCACTGTGCGCCAGAGATGCCTTCTTGTTTTTCAAAGGCCGACGATCTATACTCTGGATCGTTTCCAAGGGGGACGCCTTGCCACTTGAGTCTGGAGGTGATGATGAGCTGCCTGACTGAACCTTGGAACTGTTGTGTGGTGACGCCTAGGCCTAGGTTTCATGTCCCTGGGCTTGGCTAGTACGGGATGTAGGCATTGCAACACGAGCAAGAGTAAGCACGTCCCATGTGTTCATTCCCGTTGGTACCCGACGCCCCAAGCCCTAAACCCTCAACCCTAAAACGGCAGCTTTCGTTTGCGTTCTCAGGTGAAGACGACTCTCTCAGACGACTCTGGTCTGACTCTTCGTTCTAAGATGGCAAGATGATAAAAGAATGCCTGTGGCCCGCTGCACATTCAACGCCTAAACCGGAATCCCTAAACAGCTCGTTGCTCCTGACTACTTGCCCATTTCAATGATTGGGGTGGCTCTTGAAAAACGGATGTCCAGCCTGAGACAGCCTCTACGACAGGCCATCGCAAGCGACAAAGCTTTCCAATCTGTTTCCCCTTAGTTCATATGGCATTCTGTTTGGTCGACACTGCGTGACAAGCTTCACGGCTCAACGTCACGACATTTCGCATGTGGCAACTGTGAAGCGAAGTATGCTCTAGGTTCCGTGCTTATCATTAAAAAGGAATGAGTAAGTGACAGTTGTTTTCCATTTTTTGTTGTGAATCTCGCGATTGAACAGTTCATTCTAGATTCTCTGCTATCGGTTGGACGAATGAGTAAGAAAGCAATACTTGTCAAGCAAGGAGGCAAGGCGTACTTGCCAGAACGGCGATAGGTACAACAACGCTTCGCGAGACACAGTGAAAACACAGAGGAATGTCAATGAAAACGCTATGATTTCCGTATGAATGAATGATTCAACGAACGATACACAGTGAATGACAGAGGCATATGATTGAAAAACACTATGATTTCCGAATGAATGAATGATTCAACGAACGCAGCAAAACAACTTAAGCATGACAGGGAAGGACGGCAGGTGGAAAGAGCAAGGGCTTAACAACAAAAGTAGTCAAAACCCTAGGGCAAGTGCGAAAAAACAAAGTTGTATTATTCAGTCGTTTGGCATGTCTGTCAGGAGAGGAATAGCTTCAATCATGGAGGTACGATAAGAAGGTCAGTGCTGATAAGTGTTATCTGAAAAACAGTTGCAATGCACAGTGGCTTTAGTTGCCGTTTCCGCGTCTGCTTGTCTGCTGTATCAGCTACTGCAAGTAGGGTGTTCATTGCTAGTACCCCAAAAGGACACCCGATATGTACACTCGCTCCTTTAGTCAAGAACCCCACCACAGCCTGAATATGAACCCCACTTCATATTATCAGTTTCATCCTTGAGCACCACTGTCTGGGGCTTGGGTCTGTCCGACCTTACCCTAAACCCTGTTGACAACCCTAAACCCTAAAGCCTAAACCTCAACACATACCATGTTGTCGGTGCGGGGTGGGGGGTGGGGCGGGCCTTCAAACAAGTGGTCCGGGCACGGGAAGCCGTAGTCCCTTCTCTGAAGAGTCGTTCCCTTCATTTGAGAATTTTGTTTCTACTTGGAGGTTCATGAGTACTTATAACCCCAACAATAAGTCTACATGTGGTCCCCCTACGTCTTATAGTTGGGTAACATTTTAACATTTTATATCTTTAAAGGGTACTTAAACCCAATAAGGAATAAAACATAGATTATTGAATATTTTCCCAACAATGAACTAGACTTGCATCTTCACTTTCTGTTGAGACCGATCTCCGAGATTTCAAATGGCTTAGGCCCTATACTTCCATGGGTTCCCCTACTGCCCCCCTTTATACTACCCTACCCTCCCCCCAGGTTCTCCCCATAATTGAGGCTATTTAGGGGATAGTTAAGCTTAGTAGGGAAACCCATGAATACTTCGTCTCAAGGCTTGCATAGGAGGTCTGCCACCTCCTCCGTCCTCCAGCAACTCATAAAACATCCGGTGTTTGCTAGGGGATCTTTGAACCGGAAGTCCAAGACAAGTCCAAGATGTTCCTAGATGAAACACGCGAGAAGTTCCGAAGCTATCGTGACTTTCTTTCTAGATTTGGGGGTTGATCATCCGGGCGCTTGCTGTAAATAAACTATGAAAGGAAGAGACTGCCGTGGCTTCTGAAACAGCTACCAAGAAATAGCAGCAAACGTCACACGAAAATGGCTCCAGCTGTTGCGAGCCGTTGCGAGCCCAACGAGTTCAAGAGTTGCCTTCAGAAGAGTCGAGGAAGTTGCTCTAGCTCCCCACACCCTTCCCCTACACGTGCGGATTACTACGGCAGCCGAAGACATGCAAGGCACAGTTTATTGCAGGTGAAATTTGCTGCAAAGCACAGCGGTTGCACCCATGACGCCTCCCTTGAAGAAGGACTTGGCTGGAAAGCCGCCGCGGAGGTCGCGGTCGCGATCGAGATCCCGGTCGTCTCAGTGGTCGCGCGGGAAATCCCCACCGCGAGAGTCACGAGATAAGCAGGCAGCCAAGGAGGTCGAAAAGAAGGATGGCCAGGATGGCCCCGGAACTCGGGGAACGCCTCGGGTGAAAGCACCCGATGACCTCCCCGTGGCTGCCTACAAGGAGAAGATTATTGACCTCCTGCTGGAGCACCCGATCATTGTGGTTGTGGGTGAGACAGGATCTGGCAAAACCACCCAGATCCCACAATACCTCCTGGACTCGGAGAAGTTCCATTGCTTGTTTGAGAACAAGCGTGGGTTGCGAGTGGCCATAACTCAGCCCAGACGGGTTGCGGCCGTGGCCATGGCCCGACGTGTGTCGGATGAACGTGGCACGCGTCTCGGAGACGTGGTGGGCTACAGCATCCGCTTCGAGGACAACTCAAGTGCGAGCACGCGCCTGAGGTACATGACTGATGGCTGCTTGCTTCGTGAGTGCCTCGGGGATCCTGACCTTGCAAACTACGATGTCGTCATCCTGGACGAGGCCCACGAACGGAGCTTGCACACGGACGTCTTGTTTGCTCTCATGAAGAGGGCTGTGAGCAATAGGGCCGGTCAGCTCAGGATGCTCGTGACGTCCGCAACCCTCGATACAGGGGCATTTTCTGAGTACTTTGCATGCCCGGTTCTTGAAGTCCCTGGGCGCAGCTTCTCGGTTGCCCTGCACTACCATCCTGTGTCCAGGACTCAGAGGGTTGAGGCTGCCGTCAACGTCGCTTTGAATCTGCACGTCCGCGAGGGACCGGGCCACATTCTGGTTTTCCTCACAGGAATGGAAGAATGCGAGCAAGCAGTGTCATTCGCAAACTCGAAACTGCAGAACATGGTCGACAGTGGAAAGCAGGTTTCAGACTGCCTCATCGTTCCCCTGTACGGAATGATGCAGTCCGACGACCAGCGCAATGTCTTCGAAGAGGTTCCGGACGGATGTCGGAAACTCGTCTTTTCAACGAACATCGCCGAAACTTCCCTGACTGTAGCTGGAGTTGGCTACGTCGTCGACTGTGGTTATTGCAAGCAAAAGAACTTCAATCCTAAGACCGGAATGGAGTCTTTGCAGGTGACCGAAGTCTCGCAGGTGCAGGCCAAGCAGAGGGCAGGGAGGGCGGGCCGCACCCAGCATGGAAAGTGTTTCAGGCTCTACTCGGAAGAGACCTTCTCACGCAGCCTCCCAAAGGTCACGGTCCCCGAGATCCTGAGGTCGAACCTGGCATCCGTGACCTTGCAGATGAAGGCCATGGGCATTGAGGACGTGGTGCGTTTCGACTTCATGGAGCCACCCGACCGAGTGCGGCTGGTGAAGTCCCTCCGGCTTCTCTTCCTCATCGGAGCGCTGGATGCCGATGGCGGCCTCACAGATCTGGGGCGGCGGATGTCGCAGCTGCCCCTGGAGCCTCAGTATGGGCGTGTCTTGCTGGCAGCTGCCGAAGCCGGTTGCGTGTCCGAGGCCCTGACGCTGGTTTCGATGCTGAGCTCTGAGGGTGTGTGGTACCGGCCCTCCAAGCAGAATGCGGAGCAATGGGAGGAAGCGCTGGCGGTGCAGGAGCGCTTCCTCCACCGCATGGGCGACCACCTCACCCTGGTGCGCGTCTTCACGATGTGGGAAGACGAGGGCTGCAGCCCCGAGTGGTGCAAGGCCAACTTCCTGCACTTCCGGGCCCTGCGCCAGGCGCGCGACATCCGCGGCCAGCTCTGTGACCAACTCGAGAAGGTCTCCGAGGCAGGGTTTAGGGTTTAGGGTTTAGGGTTTGGGGTTTAGGGTTTAGGGTGTAGGGTTTAGGGTTTAGGGTACTGTGTCTGAGAGGCATGTTTGGAAGCGTTTCCTGGGCTTAGATTTTCAATGTTCGCGTTCTGACATGCGTCTTTTCTGGATGTTGGGTTGGCAAGTTCTGTAAGGGTCTGGAGGGAAATGTTGGCCAATCAGGGAGGCAGGGCCTGAGTTCGGAGTTTTTCTTTCATTTTAGGTTATGTACACAGTCTGTAGCAACTGTAGTGGATCTAGGCGCTTTCCTGCCGCCGGGTCCATTCTGAGGCATACTTCCTACCGTTCTGGCCATTGCCCTCAAACCCTAAAGAGCCTTGGGGCGGGGGGGGGGGGTGGGGGAGACCTCCCGGGGTCCACAAGATCATTGATGTGGTCACCCCATGTCACCCCCTGTTTTGTCAGACTGGTGGTGTCTATTGTGTCTGCAGGCATCCGTGAGGGATGCAGTACGTGCAGTCCGCAACCGCTACAGAGACCATCGAGACCGTGATCGAGGACGAGGTGTGGGGACTCTTCGTGTCCACGGTTCACGTGGCTCAGGTGAACTTTGAAGCTGCCCCCGCCCCCCCCCCCAGGAATCCCGCTCGTCACTCGTCGCGATAAGTTCGAGTCATGCAAGCTCGATTGTATGAACGATGCCATCGGGCCGGTCCCGTGCAGGTTTTTGCGAGCGTCTTTGCCTGGACCGCATATGTTGCGTAAGGTTTGCACAGTTTATGTTTCCACAAAGCATTTCATGAACGCTGGAGTGTGGGGAGGGGGGGGGCGATTTTTTTGGCCTTGTTCGCCAATGACCTGCTTTACCCCTCCTGAAACACTCGAACCCCAATGCTGACCAGGGTGCTTCTCACTTACACGTGACGCAGTAAGATGCCGCGGTTCGAATACACCCCTGCACTAGCTTGCTTCTCAGTCCCTCGCCACGTAGCTTTGCCCTAGGATGCAGCACCTTTCAGGTCTGCATAGGTTTCGTTGGTGGAGGGCGTGCCGAGTAAGCCAAGCCCCGAGACTGCAGCAGGTGCCCCCAAGAACGGCAGCAGCGTCGAGCAGGCAGAGCAAGCACCTGCCCTGCTGTACCCTAAACCCTAAACCCTAAACCCTAAACCCTAAACCCTAAACCCTAAACCCTAAACCCTAAACCCTAAACCCTGAACCCTAATTAAACCCTAAACCCTAAACCCTAAACCCTAAACCCTAAACCCTAAACTTGATACAAGCCGCGGCTACCTCTGTGTTTGTCATGGCTTCCTGCGCGTACCTGCGCCGTAGCCCCCCGTCGAGGCGTTGCTGCAGTCCTTATGCGGCACCCTCAGCTTTTCCGTTTCTGATGCTGGCATGTGATCCGTCTTGTTGCTTTGAGGTTCGGGGTTCTTCATGCAGACGGCCCGGATGTGTGGGGCTGGCGGCGGATGGTTGATCGTAGGCCTGGTCAGCGGTTTCGTACAGCTTGGTGAAATAATATGGGGGCGTCTTACGAAAGTAGGGGGGCCCACATATACATATATACATATATATAAATACATACATATGTATATATACATATGTCACCAAATGGTAGGATTCGCTTGAAATACAGACCCCAAAAAAGGTGCCCCTAATCTCGAATGTCACGACATGTCTCCGAGATTCTGCCGCCGGCCAGGAGAGAACGTTCTCGTTAAATGCGAGGGAGGCAGCGCCATGGATGGTTCTTGCGCAGAGTCCGACACCCAGTAGGGCAGCAATATAGGCAACAACGCAACAACTCGGGCAGCGACTGCGATGCATAAAAAGGCAGGTGGGCGACATCTTTAGCATTTATTTCACTGTAGGTAGCAGCATCGTGTGTGATCGAATGTTAATGTTTCCAACTTTGTCATGCTGCTTACAGAGACTGCTGCAGGCTGTGCTGTTGCCATTGCCATTGGTAATTCCGGGAAAGGACTACTGTATCATGCTGACCACGCATGGTTTTCGGTTGCCGACATTCTCTTAGGTGGGTACTTTACACAGACTTGGTTGGCAGCACTGTTGCCAACTGCATGATGCGTTTGGGCCTTAATTGCCTGCTTTCTTGAACTCGCCAATCTTTTCTTTCAGCTTGCAAGCCGGAGGCACTGTGTCAGCTGTGGCGCACGAGTGGTTGCAGCCATGGCCTTAGTATGGTCGAGCTGCCTCTTTGCTAAACGTGCAAAACACAAAGCCCAGATGGTTCTAAGACTGCCAACCACGCCCAGGCCCTTGCTACCAAAGCTCGTGGAGGTGGACCTCAAGCGTTTGGATGGACTCTCAGAACGGTCATGACTGGGTTCCCACAATTCTTGGCCCCAAGCAAGTAGATAGCTCCCTTGAGTCGCACTAAGACTCCATACCCCATAATGTAGAGAGAGCTGCCCATATAAACTCCCAACCCGAAACCCGAGTTCGCAGAACTGCCCGTGCCGTGTCTTCACAATGCTGAGGTGGGCGTGACACAACCTCGGCAGAACGAGCAGGCCTGAGTGCTCAAGCCGACGCCAGCAAGACTGGAAGATATATCCGACCATGTGTTATGATGCCCCTTCTCTCTCTCTGTGCGTAACCGGTGCTGAAAGCAGTGCAGCTTCGAGTCTCGTGAGTTCGCTGTGGCCGCCCTTGTTACCTTTCGTGGCATAGGGGGACCATAGGAGAAGGCCTGTCAAAGACTTTCTTCTTCCCTCCGACGCACTGTGAGACGATCAGCCTTCCACCGGCCGGGTGCCTCCAAGATGCCTTTCATGCCGCCCCCCCCCTCGCATTCAGTGCAGGATGCATATCCTGCAGCCTGTGCATACTCTGCAGGTCTTTCGGCGAGTGAAGTTTCAGGGAGCAACCCGTCTCGTGCCCCGTGCAGCTTTTTGGGGCGCAACCCTCAACCGCGCCCTCGAATAGCTGCCTCGGACTTCTCCGTCGTTGCGTGGGGCTACGCAGCATGTTTATGGAGCGCTTTTTGTCCAAAGCCTCATATCTTTGTGACCTGGTGACCACTTTTGTGCTGTCGCGGCGAATGGCAGCAAAGCTCCTTGTTCTTTGCAAGCCGGGCAGGTGGAGGAGCCAAAGGACTTCCGGCGCTTGGTGTGGATGTTTTTTTTTTGTTGCCGTGTTGTGAGGGGCCTTTTGGGCCATGAGTTCGGGCGGTGTGGAGGATCCAGCGCAGGTTGCCAAGGACCGTGAAGTCAAGGCGGGCCTTACACCTTGGGATGTTCCCCCCCTATACTAGCAGTCCTGAAGAGGGATGATAGTACCCCTTATGAGAATCCCTATTCTGGAGCTGTGAGTATAAGGGGGAACATCCCAACTTCCACCTCAAACCCAGATGACCGTTGCGGGTTGGGATGCGCCTTCGATTTGCATGATTTGCCAGGTGGGAAGCGCCCGAGAAAGGTACCTGGCGCGCAAGAACAAGACTGCCTCGAAGTAGCCTTGGCTGAAAACATCTCACGGCTTCATGCTTCCGTTGCTGGTGCATCAATGTTACCAGATGGGTGCGGTTGTGCTTGCAGCTTTTGTGCGTTGCATCGCCGCAAGCCGTGCCATCGTAGCTCGAAGCGATGCAATATCATCACATATCATCTACCAAGTGCAGTGAAGTCTGGCTTGCTCGTTGCGGCTGCGGCTGTGTGACATGCTGACTGCACTACACGTGACCCTTGCTGAGCGCGCGCCCTGAACACTGTGAATGACTAGCACCATGCATATCTACTAAATGCGCATAAGCCTCCCCAAAGCCTAAACCCTAAACCCTCAACCCGAAACCCTAAACCCTATACCCTATACCCTGAAGACGTGGAAAGCATCGCCATGCGCCAAAGTGTCGCAGTGGCCAGCGCCGTGAGGCACGACCTTACGCAGCGGAGTGGCCTTAGCCCCGAAAGAGCCCAGAGAAGCACCCTGACCATCCCCGAACGCTAAAACCCTAAGCCCTAAGCCCTAAGCCCTAAACCCTAAACCCTAAACCCTAAACCCTGAACCCTAAACTTGCAAACGTGGGAAACCTTGGCAAAACGACTCGTTGAAGGCGCTGGGTCGGTGCTCGGCCAGCGAGGCCGCGATGCGAGAGGCGCCTTCCCGCGCCGTGATTTCTGCACTCACTTCACTTATAAGAGTATTTTTTTGTTGAACACGTTTTTGGGGTTCTTAAGCAAATAGTACTTAAGAACCCCCAAGAAAATAATAATAATATTTCTGCACGAGCTGAGCTTAAGAACCCCCCAAAAATATTCTTACAGGGGAAATATAGGGGTCATTGTTTTTTGTTTTTCTTTTGCTTAAGAATCCCCGGAGTATTGTTCCTTCTAAGGGTAAAAAGAGGCTTGTTGGTGAACATCTTTTCGGGGTTCTTCAGTACATAGTAGTTCTGCACTCACTTCTTTGCAGCTTCTGAGTGCTTCTCTGTGGGATCTTGGGGGATCTTCGGCTCATCACCACGCCATGAGAGGAGGTGGACCGTTACGGCCCGACCGACGTCCTTTCGCGAATCACAGGCACCATGTCACATAGCGTGCTGTGCGGAAGCATGCAGAAGGCCAGCTTGAAGCGTCGTCTGCAGGATCAAATAAGCCTGAGCGAGAGACAGGAGGCTCGGTCAGCTGCGGAACCCATTCAGAAAGATGATTTGGCAAACCCAGAAGCTTGAACACACCTGGAAAAACACCTGCTATATAGGCCTTCCTACTGGAGCGCTTGCCACGTGCATGGAATGAGGACGCTCGTCACTTCTTGCCGTTCGTGTAACCCTAAACCCTAAACCCTAAACCCTAAACCCTAAACCCTAAACCCCAAACCCTAAACCCTAAACCCCAAACCCCAACATTCCTGCATGTGTTGCAGAACTCCTCGAGGAGCATGTGCGAGATGCATTGAGCGGCTGTGGCCAAGACCTGGGTGATGACTGGCTGCAGCCCCGGAAGTCGGAAGCGCAAGGAACCATGCATACTTATACATGTATATATGTATATATATATATATGTATATATACATATATGTATGTATATATATATATGTATGTATATATATATATGTATAATGTATATATATATATATATATATATATATGAATATGTGCTCATATGTACATATTCTGCATATTCACAGAAGTACACATACAAACTCTATTAAAAAGTTACCTTCGTTTTAGCTTCGGGCTTTCTTTTGTGGAATCGAGCTTTGCGTTGCTCACCAAGTTGAAGTGGATTTGCGTTTTTGGAGCCTGGCTTCCTCCGAGGCGAAGCAAAATCCTGTTGATGCGCTCGCGCTTGGGTACGTCGATGGGGCGTGCTCTCATCGCCTCCTCAATTCACGTGCCCGATGTTGTCAAGGCTGTTTCATTGCTTTCGCCGACAGCTGGCACTTGAGTTCAGTCTCTCCACAGGAGCTTCCTTGGGGGACGGTGTATCGTCCTATGGATAGGTCAGACATCGAGGCCGGCTGGGTGAGTAAGAGTTGGAATCAGAGGGCCATAGATGGGGGTCTATCGACGTCTATCATAGGGGGCTACTTATTATAACCCTAAACCCTAAGCCCTAAACCCGAAACCCTAAACCCTAAAAGTGTCTCCCTGCTCCTTGCCGTGCCAGGCTTTCGTGGAGCAGTGTGAGCGCTTCGTGCATCTCAGTGAGGCGCCTGACAGGGGGGGTTTACGGAGATAAGGGGACCCCAAAAACGAAAATGTTTCAAATACTGAGATCAATTTGCGAAAATACACACCCCCCCCCCCCGCCAAATAGTTATTAAAAACAACAAATAGTATACTAATATACGTCATTTATAAGTTTACCAAAAAAAGACCCCAGAATAGTAGAGGCTCCTTGATAAGAAGTGCCCCAATAAGGTACCCCCTTATTTCGGAAACCCCCCAACAAGGACGAAGGGCAACTCTCCAAGCTGTGGTGGCTTTGTGGGTAGAAACCAATGTAGATTCAATCTCATCTTGACTCTTGACAGTTGCACGCCTTCCGGCTTTACTAGGGGGGCCCCCTCTAAGGCGATTACCCTACCCTATAATCGGTGAGATGCTGTATGTGTCGGGGTGCTAATCCTCGAAAATCGAGAGGGGCCCACCCAGCATGTTGCGCGACGTTCCATGAACGCACTTGGTCAGCCTCTCACAGTATGAGTCTCCACACGATCACTCTTAAAAAGTAGCCAAGGTTTGTTCAGGGTTTAGGGTTTAGGGTTTAGGGTTAGGGTTTAGGGTTGAACCCCATATTCCTGCTGTGCGGGCCCAGGGAGTGTTTGCAGAACGGCAGCACACACAGACGGGGATGACAGGCCGCGCAGCTGTGCCCCTGTAAATGCTGGGCTCAAAGCCCCAACATGTGCAGAAAGCGTTGTGTTGCCATGGACTGGCGACAGTTGGGATGTTGATGTGAGCTGCTCCTTGGAGTTCAATGGTTTCCGCCAAGGTTTGCAGCCGCACTTTTCCGACTGCCCCCATGCCTCTTCTGCACCCAACCCGAGGGTACATCCCCAAGACACGGGTGAGTCGAGCTTCACCTTCAAAACAGCGCAGGGATATGGCCAGAACTTATGCTCAACATGTTTTCAGGAAAGCTTCGGTAGCAGGCCGGTCCGGAGTGCAGCTGGAGCCAGATGCACAGAGCATGAATTGGTCAGTGTTGGAAGAGGCCGTGCGTGCTTCCTTGCTTTCAGCTGCTAATCCCTTTAGCATTTTCTTTGCGAGCTGGTTTACATGCAGCACGACACGCAAAACAGTGGGGAGGCAGAGGGACATCTTCCCAATCGCACCCGTGAGGGAATGGGACTTCCATTCTGAATTGACATGCCCGCGCTCTTTTGCAACTTTGCTGCTAAACGCGTGTGTTGCGGCTTTGAACTTCCTCGCCATGGACTTCAAACTCAGCCGGGGTGCTCATCCGCACAGCCCGCGGCATACTTCGGCACAGGTGGCTGTAATAGACCATGTGGCGCGCAGAGTGGCAAGGTTCGCTACGACGCTGAAGATGGGATGGCGTGGATGTTTTTCCTGCAAATCCGCTTTCGATAAGTTTGAGGGTGAGCCAGACGGGAAGTACCCTGTGTTACAAGCCGATGCAGTGGATCTGCCTGTGCGAGCCGGGACATGCGATCCTGGCGAGCTCATTCCCGCCGAGCTTTTCGAAGCGGTGTCTAATCCTGACAACATTTTCGCCGGGCACACGAGCTTGGACTGCAGCCCGCCCCGTTCAGGAGAACGTCGCGATGAGTACGTCAAGCTTGTGGCTCAGCAGCTGGAGTGCGGAAAGACGCGTCTTCATCAAACGGTCCGGGCAGTGGGAGACGTTTTTGCAGTCAGCAAGAAGGAAGGTCGGCAACGTGAGGTGTGGAATGGCTCTTCTGTTTCTGCCTGCGCTGCAAAGCCTCCAGCTCCGCTTTTCTTGGCCAACCCAAGTTGCTTCGTTGACCTGGTCTTCGACGGCGCCCAGGAGGTTTTCATGTCAAAACGTGATGTTCACACATGTTTCGACGTGCTCAAAGCCCCGACCGCTATGCAGTCCTGGTTTGGTAGACCCCCAGTATCGTTGCGCGAACTTTGTTTGGTCAGTGGGAAGTCTGCAACCCATTTTCGGGACTATGTCGTGGACGACCAGGCCCAGCGGACTGCTATTCATCCGGATGCTATGTTGTTTCCTGCTAGCGCAGTGTGGCCCATGGGTTTTAGCTGGTCTTCGTGCGTTGCTCAGGCATGCACTGTTGCTTGTTGCTTGGAGGCTGGGGTTGCTGAGGAGAACTTCCTGTCCATGGATGTACCGCCAAGCAATGGTGTTGAAGCGTGTGGTGTAGCCACTGACGACACGTTCTTCATTCACAAGGACAGGCTCTTGGGGGCACAGCGCTTACAGAGATTGGATGCAGCTATGGAAAAGCATGGAATGCCCAAAAACTGTTCCAAAGATGTGACACTGCAAGCAAGCATGACCGCCTTGGGGTGCGAATTGTCTTCACGCCCGGGCGCTGTGGAACCCAGCGCCTCCAAGTTGGCGCCATTGTTCGCAGCTTTGTTGGACGTGACTGTGAGGAAACGGGCGAGTCCTTGGGGCATGAATCGGGCCCTTGGTGTGGAGCAATGGTTTTGCTTACTGTCGCGCCCCTTCTTCAGCGCTTTCAACGACGTGTACGACTTTGTTCGCAGGGAACCCCCAAGGGAGGAGCGTGCAGTGCCACCCAGCGTTTGCGCGGAGTTGTCAGTTGCAACCTTCTTGATGCCGCTGCTTGGAGCAGATCTGACTCGACAATTTCTGCCTTTTATTGTGGCAAGTGATGCTTCTCCGGATTTCGGCTTTGGTGTGTGCTTCATGGACTGCCCCAAGGGCATCGCTGAACAAGTTGGAGCATTGGCTGAGCGGCGGGGTGACTTCGTCAAGCTATATCCCGGACCCAACGAGCCTGAGCGCGAAGACCGCATAGGCAGTCCACATTTACTGCCGTTTGAACAGCGGCAGTTCAGGATTGCCATCAGCAGCCGTGCGCAGCACAAGGCGCACTCCAGTGCCCTGGAAGCTCATGCTGTTCTTTTGGCTTTGAAATGGGTTTTACGCAAGGCATCGAATTTCCATCACAGGTTGGCTTTGCTTGTCGACGCCAAGGCCGTGCTAGGTGCTTTGAGCAAAGGCAGGACGTCAGCTGGCGGCATCCGAGGGGTGCTGCGACACATCGGAGCTCTTTTGTTAGCAACGAACACACTCCTTCGGCCAGTGTACGTTCCGACGGAGCACAACCCAGCTGATGCCCCATCCCGTGGCAAGCGGCGAAGAGCACGTCGTGTCAAGCAGTCCTCAGCAACTTCAAGGGTTTCGCGCTTTCAGAGGCAGATGTTTTCTCTGGCACGCAGGGTTGCCAAACTTGAAAAAGCCGGGGCCCTTTAGGTCGTTTTTTGTCTTCGGGTTTTGTTTCACGTAAGGTGTGTTTCAACGAAGGTTTTCCTTTTGCTTGCCAACACTCAGCCATCGGTGTCCGGGAGCTTCGTGGATCTTCCTGCCAACCAGCTGCTGGCGAGGCTGGGCTCTGACACCGCTGGAGTGGGTCACCGCGATTTGCGCCCATCGCGATGTTTTTTTTGCTGCAGATGATTGCCGTGTGGACTATTCTGATTTCTGCACATGTCAATGCGGTCGCTGTGGTGCCCTTTTCGACCTCGGCTTGCTTTGACGCACGCCAGTTGCCAGTGGGTGGGACTTTGCTTTGCAGCCGAGTTGGCTGTTCTTCTCAGATGCAGTTCAGGCAGTCAGCTCAAGGTTGGCTCAGTCTTGGCAGCACCTGGGTAAGTCGTGCAGCTTTTGCATAGCATCTCTACCTTCTGGCAAGCGAAAATCCGAATTCGTTTCAGCATCTTGTCTGGTAGCTGCAGATGACGTCAGCAAGGCCTTTCAAGCAACTTCGCAGGAATTAGGGTTTAGGGTTTAGGGTTTAGGGTTTAGGGTTTAGGGTTTAGGGGCTTTGCTGTCCCCAACTTGTCCGAGCCTCTGATCCCTCCAGGACTTGAGGCGCATCGCTGCGCCGGAAAGCTTCCTGCGGGTGCTGACGATCACCGAGGCGGGGCGAAGCATGTGCCGCCTTAAGGTGAGACCTCGGGGGGTTCAGGGTTTAGGGTTTAGGGTTTAGGGTTTAGGGTTTAGGGTTTAGGGTTTAGGGTTTAGGGTTTAGGGGTATTCATTTCAGCCTCGAAACCGGGAGGGAGTCAAGAAAGCCCTAGGAGAAACCCTGGAGTGTAACAGGCTGAAACTCAACGACATTTTGGCAGGTCTGGAAATTTCAAAGGTCCCGGCGCGTCAATCGCAAGACCCTGAGGTACCCCAAGCCCCCAAGACCAAGGCCCGAGCCCCAAGTCCCCCAAAAACACCTACCTAAAGCCAAGACCACCGTTCAACAGCTTTGGACAACCTGGGTTCGAATTCTGAATCGCGTAAAGTTGGGGAGCTGAATGAGGAGCGAAGGGCGCAGAGCTGTGGAGCGGGGCAGCATGCCAGAGTGGGAGGAATATACGAATACATACATACATCGTGTTCCACATGGAAACCTGCCGGGCAGAGACCACATGGCGGGGTGGCCGGATCCCTTCGGATCTTGAAGGTGGTTCTACTTGGAGGCTCAGGGTCCCAAAGCACCAGGTTTTGTTCTGAGTTATGAACCTGGTACAGCATGGCCATATACATGCAGCTTGAGATATAATGACTGCAGCAGCAAAGCTAAATGATATGCAAATAGAAGTATGACCATGACATACCATGACTACAAAGGCAAAGACAGCATTACGCGAAGATTTTGAGTATCAACATGAGTAGAAGCACACTTATAGATGCACAAGACAATGTTTTCAGCCTAACTACAAAATCAAACACAACGAAAATGAACATCTATGTAGTACGTGTCATAGAGGTAGATACGAAAAAAACACGAATAAGCTTTGAAAGCCAGCTATGCATGTGCCGAAAGACAAAGTTAAGTCTAAGTATCATGTAAATGTATATGCCAACGTAAATGTAAACATACAGCGGCGTAAAATCTCGAATGCTCACGTACATGTAAGTTGAGGAAATCCAGTTGTATGTCTGAACATAACCGTAAATCTAAATATGGGCATATGGAAAAAACGCATGGCAATGGGCGAGGGTATGTTACAGAGTATAGCTCCAGTGATCTGTCCGCTGCTGTCAGGTGCCAGCGAATTACGGGCGCAAGGACAGCTTGGCTTTGCCTTGCAAGCCTGAGCCAAACCGAGCCCGTGTGGGCTGAGTGCGTTCAGGACATTGCGCACATTCTCAAAGAGCGGTGCAACGTGACTGTGGCACTGACTGACATCGTCTTCCGCTTCAAGCGGCCAGAGACCCATCTTAGGGTATCATCTTGTCATCCTTTTGTGAACTGCTCCTCTGCCATATCATGAGCTGCAGTAGAAACCCGTTTGATGATCCACCTGCTGCTCTCTTGTGCGGCAAGGTTTGGCCCCCCACCCCCCCCCCCCCCCCATTTTGGGAAGCCCCAATGGCAAGCCATGCTTGTGAAGGAAAGCATCCCCAACTCCGAAAGGCTTTTTCCCAATGTGCAGCCCTCCCAATAAGAGTTCGAACATGACCTGATTCTTGATATTCATGTACCTACTTGCCATGCTCTGAAGGATCATTTATGTAAATACCTGCCATGCCTCAAGATCCATCGCGATCGAACGGCGTCACAGAGCATGGAGCGAAACCCGGGCGAAGGAAGCGCTGGGCTTGAGCGCTAAATCCTTGAAAACCCTACTTGAAGGTTCATGGGAACTTCTGGGGTGATAAGTACCCGAAATAAGGTTTAAAAACATGGTTGGCCAACTTATGACCCTACTTACAAGCAAACCCCAGCCCCGGACTGCCAGCAGCACGTCGACGTCTCAAGGCACAACCCCCCCCCCCCCCCGTTGCCTGGCGAGGCAGAGGGCGGCATGAAAATGTGAGGTTTAGGGTTTAGGGTTTAGGGTTTCCCCCCCCCCCCCCCCCCCAGTTCCCAAAGCCCAAAGCGACTCAGTCTCCCTAGACCCCCAATTTCCACAAGTCCCCAAAACTCACATCATGCAACTCCCAAACTGTCAAGCCATTCCACTTCCCCCTAAACCCTAAACCCGAAACCCAAACCCTAAACCCTGAACCCTAGACCCTAAACCCTAAACCCTAAACCCTAAACCCTAAACCCTAAACCCTAAACCCTAAACCCTAAACCCTAAACCCTAAATCCTGAGCCCAAATATCCTCCATCTCCATGAGTCGCCAAGGTGGGGGCGCCAGGCCGACACCTGCTACGTTGTCTGCCCGACGTCAGAAGCAGTCGACCGCTGTGTCCAAGAGATTCAGGCCAGGCTATGCATGTCCTAAACCCTAAACCCTGAACCCTAAACCCTAAACCCTAAACCCCCTAAACCTTCTAAACCCCCCCAGACCCACAAAACCCCTCTAAGCCCCCTAAACCACCTAAGCCCCCAGAACCCTAGGATTACGAATCCTTAAGCGCTGAACACTATCCGGATCTTGCTCTGCCATCCCTCAGCCCTAAACCCTTTACCCTAAACCCTAAACCCTCAACCCGAAACTATGACGCATGGTGAGACAGGAGCTGGCCGTGCCCAAGCGGGTAGCTCATGGCTCCCTGTTCGGACACGACCTCAGTGGCAACGTGCAACAAAGGGGAGTTAACGAGCATCAGGGACCCTTAATCATATAAGCCGTAGATCCTAAGCCCTAAGCCGTAAACCCTTCTGCCTTCGAATAAGATGTTCAATAAGAGGGTACCCTCTATGGTTCTGGAAGCCATGCAGAGATTACGGGTCCCCAAAACCCAAGGGCACGACCTGAAGGGTCTAAGGTACAACCCCTAGATACCCCGATAGTTTTGGAAACCCCCCCTCCCCCCCCCCCCCCCCATAAATAGAGACTTCGGGGCCTCTCATGACATTGAGGAGCGGCATTCCTTTGGTCCAGTCGCGCGACGCTCTTCCTGAGCGACCCTGCATGGAGCCCAGGGTTTAGGGTTTTAGGGTTTTGGGGTTGAGGGTGTAGGGGTTCAGGGTTCAGGGTTCAGGGTTTAGGGTTTAGGGTTTAGGGTTTAGGGCTAGTGGTTTAGGGTTTAGGGCTAGTGGTTTAGGGTTTCGGGTTTAGGGTTTAGGGTTGTTTCCGACGGCCCAGCTTGCTGCAAGGCCTTGGACTTCCTGCTCGCCGCGGGCTCGGCGTACTTGAAGCCACCCTGAGCTCCCTCCGAAGCCACGACTTGCAAGAAAAAAATACTGCCTTTATTAACCTTAGAAGGAAGAATATATTATTATTATTATTATTATTATTATTATTATTATTATTATTATTATATTATTATTATTATTATTATTATTATTATTATTATTATTATTTATTCATTTTTCTTTTTTTTTTTTTGGGGGGGGGGGGGGTTCTTAAGCAATTAATAGGAAGCCCCTCCTTGCGGTGCAGAGGACTCCAAGACGTGGGTCTGCACAACTGGCTGGCAGGAGGATCCCCGGGCCCATGTGAGATTTTTTTGTTGGCATGGTCTTGTCCCAAGATGCTAAACCGGCCTAAACCCTGAACCCCAAGCCCGAAACCCTAAACCCTAAACCTTACACCCTAAACCCTAGCCCTAAACCCTAAACCCAAAACCCTAAACCCTAAACCCCAGGACATGACGGAAGATGAGTTCCTCCAGGCAGTTCGTGGTTGGGAGAGGGTTGTGGTTGACTGGGCACACTGCACCCAAAAGGTCATGCATCAGCTTCGGTTCTATCCGGCCACATGCTGAGCTTCTACGTGGGGTTATAAGTACCCTACATAAGGTTATGACCATGGCTACCCTACTTATAACCTTACTTAAAAGTACCTTACCCTGCCAAGGTCCGTGCTGTTCGTCATCCTGTCGTTGCTGACAAGTCCTGCGCCTTCTTCGTGAAGCTCGCGCCCTTGCGCGGAAGGGGTGGCGGGGTCCAGACCTCTTCTCGTGGTGTGCGGCCGAGGTTTGAGATGATGGAAGGTTTCAGTGGGGCGAAGCGCGCCGCAAAGCTGAAATCGGGGCTGTTTGTTTCTCTGTGCCATACATGTCCAGGCGCTAGAGTCAAACCCTAAGCCCTGAGCCCTAAGCCCTAAACCCTAAGCCCTAAACCCTAAACCCCAAACCCTAAACCCCAAACCCTAAACCCTAAATCGACTACTAGAAGGTACGGGGATGAGGGGCAATCCGAGGCCATGATGAGACTCCGCCGCTTGAAGTGGTTTCCTGCTCGGCAGTTACTTTGCCATGCTGCGCACATCAGAGAGAGAGAGAGAGAGAGAGAGAGCCCGAAACGAAACCCTAAACCCTAAACCCTAAACCCTAAACCCTAGACCCTAGACCCTAGACCCCAGACCCAGACCCTAGACCCTAAACCCTAAACTCCAAACCCTAAGCTTGGGCAGACCGCATTCAGGCGTTGGAGGATCAAGCAGACGGTCCCTTTCTTCGCATATCCGCGTCGCATCGACATACACCGGGCAGGAGAATCGAACATCTCGGAACCCGGAAGGGCTGTTTAAATTTTAGGGTTTAGGGTTTAGGGTTTAGGGTTAGGGGTTTCGGGTTTAGGGTTTAGGGTTAGGGGTTTAGGGTTTAGGGGGTTTCCGAAGTTCGGGGGCACCTTATTGGGGGTCCTTGTCATATGGGAGTCCTACGATTTTGAGGACTACATTGGGGGCACCTCATGTTCCTAAGACCGCATGGTCCATTCCACCTGAACTTGCCAAAAGGAGAAGCCCGGCATGACGATGAGATGAGCGACGCCGACTCCGACATCGACGAACCTGTGCATTATTAGCGAACAAAGAGGTCCGTGTCATGGGGGTTTGTTTTGCACCAGAGACCTCGGCTAAGTCGAAGTCTAAGGCAGGAAGCAAAGTAAGCACAAGAGGTGTTGCCATGTGACAACTTTTTGCCACTGCAATCACCTCCATGCGATTCGCGCAAGTCTCTGGCGGTCGCTGTTCAACTCGTTCGGCATGTTCCGACTGCGAGGTGCTGCGACAGACTCTGCCATGCAGCTGCTCTTTGTCTAGCAATTCACCTTCAGACAGACCATCTTGTGAAGCCTTGCCGTCAAGCTATTTGGGCTAACACATTTTCTGCCTCCCCCACCACTGACTCCAGCACCCGTGAGCCATGGCTGCTTTCGTTCCGACCGCAACAAACCTGGCATCTACCCAGTCCTCAACAGCGCTGCGGGGCACCGTGCCGCCGCAGGCACCCCCTCGCGACTCCAGCATGGGCGTGTCCCTGGCAGCAGTGGGCGTTGCAGCCTTGGCCGGTGCAATTGGTGGCGCCGCCAGCAAGCAGCGGCGGTCCCGCCGCACGGTGCAGAAGGCGGCCACCTCCTATAGGGACTTCCAGGACCCGTGGCTGGGCGCTGCCAGCCTCGGCTTCGACCCTCTGAACCTCGCTTGCGGGGGCGGGATCTTCGACAAGGCCGCCACGGCAGTGCCGGAGACCACCTACTACAACTACCGGGAATCTGAGGTCAAGCACGGCCGGTTCGCAATGACTGCTTTCCTGGCCATCTTCTTTGACTCGGCCGACCGTGGGGCAGTCTTCCGCCAGCTCGGCTCCTTTACCGCCGTGGACAATCTGGATGGCTCCCTCGGTTTGGATGAGCTGCAGGGTCCGGTCATCGCGCTTGCGCTTGGCTACCAGGCGCTGGCAGAGTACAACCTGCAGAAGAGTGAGAAGGACGGCAACTTCCTCAGCGTCGAGTACAAGAAGGAGCGGTGCCCTGGCGACCTCGGTTTCGACCCTCTGAAGCTCGGCAGCTCAAAAGGCGCCGACAAGAAGGGCCTGCACAACATTGAGGTGAACACAGGGCGCTTGGCAATGATCGGTATCACTAGCTTCTTGTGGAAGGAGTTCCTGTTCAAGGATGAGGGCATTGCGGCGAAGCTTCTGTCCGACTCCAACATCTAGTGATGCAGTGGACGCAGTGGGGGATGCAATTTTCATGCTTCAGCCCTGTACCACAAGTGTCAAAGGGCCTTGTCAAAGGGTTTTCATGAGCTTGTGATTTTCCTCGTTGTTGGCGGTGCAGGGTTGTATAGAAGATGGCTGTCGTCCAGGCCTAAGCCTTAGCCCCAAACGAGCCTAGACACCAGGAGACATTCAACGCCTACAGGAAAGTCGCTGGCTGGGAGGGTTTGGGGGTTTTAGGATGGCTTGGAAGTTGGTGGGAATGTCACTGATGTCCAACACCATTGTCCCAGCTATTTGGGCTAACACATTTTCTGCCTCCCACCACTGACTCCAGCACCCGTGAGCCATGGCTGCTTTCGTTCCGACCGCAACAAACCCTGCGTCTGTCCAGTCCTCAGCAGCGCTGCGGGGCACTGTGCCGCCGCGGGCACCCCCTCGCGACTCCAGCATGGGCGTGTCCCTGACAGCAGTGGGCGTTGCAGCCTTGGCCGGTGCAATTGGTGGCGTCGCCAGCAAGCAGCGGCGGTCCCGCCGCACGGTGCAGAAGGCGGCCACCTCCTATAGGGACTTCCAGGACCCGTGGCTGGGCGCTGCCAGCCTCGGCTTCGACCCTCTGAACCTCGCTTGCGGGGGCGGGATCTTCGACAAGGCCGCCACGGCAGTGCCGGAGACCACCTACTACAACTACCGGGAATCTGAGGTCAAGCACGGCCGATTCGCAATGACTGCTTTCCTGGCCATCTTCTTTGACTCGGCCGACCGTGGGGCAGTCTTCCGCCAGCTCGGCTCCTTTACCGCCGTGGACAATCTGGATGGCTCCCTCGGTTTGGACGAGCTGCAGGGTCCGGTCATCGCGCTTGCGCTTGGCTACCAGGCGCTGGCAGAATACAACCTGCAGAAGAGTGAGAAGGACGGCAACTTCCTCAGCGTCGAGTACAAGAAGGAGCGGTGCCCTGGCGACCTCGGTTTCGACCCTCTGAAGCTCGGCAGCTCAAAAGGCGCCGACAAGAAGGGCCTGCACAACATTGAGGTGAACACAGGGCGCTTGGCAATGATCGGTATCACTAGCTTCTTGTGGAAGGAGTTCCTGTTCAAGGATGAAGGCATTGCGGCGAAGCTTCTGTCCGACTCCAACATCTAATGATGCAGTGGACGCAGTGGGGGATGCAATTTTCATGCTTCAGCCCTGTACCACAAGTGTCAAAGGGCCTTGTCAAAGGGTTTTCATGAGCTTGTGATTTTCCTCGTTGTTGGCGGTGCAGGGTTGTATAGAAGATGGCTGTCGTCCAGGCCTAAGCCTTAGCCCCAAACGAGCCTAGACACCAGGAGACATTCAACGCCTACAGAAAAGTCGCTGACTGGGAGGGTTTGGGGGTTTAGGATGGCTTGGAAGTTGGTAGGAATGTCACTGATGTCCAACACCATTGTCCCAGCTATTTGGGCTAACACATTTTCTGCCTCCCACCACTGACTCCAGCACCCGTGAGCCATGGCTGCTTTCGTTCCGACCGCAACAAACCCTGCGTCTGCCCAGTCCTCAGCAGCGCTGCGGGGCACCGTGCCGCCGCAGGCACCCCCTCGCGACTCCAGCATGGGCGTGTCCCTGGCAGCAGTGGGCGTTGCAGCCTTGGCCGGTGCAATTGGTGGCGTCGCCAGCAAGCAGCGGCGGTCCCGCCGCACGGTGCAGAAGGCGGCCACCTCCTATAGGGACTTCCAGGACCCATGGCTGGGCGCTGCCAGCCTCGGCTTCGACCCTCTGAACCTCGCTTGCGGGGGCGGGATCTTCGACAAGGCCGCCACGGCAGTGCCGGAGACCACCTACTACAACTACCGGGAATCTGAGGTCAAGCACGGCCGGTTCGCAATGACTGCTTTCCTGGCCATCTTCTTTGACTCGGCCGACCGTGGGGCAGTCTTCCGCCAGCTCGGCTCCTTTACTGCCGTGGACAATCTGGATGGCTCCCTCGGTTTGGACGAGCTGCAGGGTCCGGTCATCGCGCTTGCGCTTGGCTACCAGGCGCTGGCGGAGTACAACCTGCAGAAGAGTGAGAAGGACGGCAACTTCCTCAGCGTCGAGTACAAGAAGGAGCGGTGCCCTGGCGACCTCGGTTTCGACCCTCTGAAGCTCGGCAGCTCAAAAGGCGCCGACAAGAAGGGCCTGCACAACATTGAGGTGAACACAGGGCGCTTGGCAATGATCGGTATCACTAGCTTCTTGTGGAAGGAGTTCCTGTTCAAGGATGAGGGCATTGCGGCGAAGCTTCTGTCCGACTCCAACATCTAGTGATGCAGTGGATGCAGTGTGGGATGCAATTTTCATGCTTCAGCCCTGTACCACAAGTGTCAAAGGGCCTTGTCAAAGGGTTTTCATGAGCTTGTGATTTTCCTCGTTGTTGGCGGTGCAGGGTTGTATAGAAGATGGCTGCTGTCCAGGCCCTAAGCCTGAGCCCCAAACGAGCCTAGACACCAGGAGACATTCAACGCCTACAGAAAAGTCGCTGGCTAGGGGGGCTTTGGGGGTTTTAGGATGGCTTGGAAGTTGGTCGGAATGTTACTGATGTCCAACACCATCGCCCCAGCTATTTGGGCTAACACATTTTCTGCCTCCCACCACTGACTCCAGCACCCGTGAACCATGGCTGCTTTCGTTCCGACCGCAACAAACCCGGCGTCTGCCCACTCCTCAGCAGCGCTGCGGGGCACCGTGCCGCCGCAGGCACCCCCTGGCGACTCCAGCATGGGCATGTCCCTGGCAGCAGTGGGCGTTGCAGCCTTGGCCGGTGCAATTGGCGGCGTCGCCGGTGTCGCCAGCAAGCAGCGGCGATCCCGCCGCACGGTGCAGAAGGCGGCCACCTCCTATAGGGACTTCCAGGACCCATGGCTGGGCGCTGCGAGCCTCGGCTTCGACCCTCTGAACCTCGCTTGCGGGGGCGGGGTCTTCGACAAGGCCGCCTCCGCAGTGCCGGAGACCACCTACTACAACTACCGGGAATCTGAGGTCAAGCACGGCCGGTTCGCAATGACTGCTTTCCTGGCCATCTTCTTTGACTCGGCCGACCGTGGGGCAGTCTTCCGGCAGCTTGGCTCCTTTACCGCCGTGGACAACCTGGATGGCTCCCTCGGTTTGGACGAGCTGCAGGGTCCGGTCATCGCGCTTGCGCTTGGCTACCAGGCGCTGGCGGAGTACAACCTGCAGAAGAGTGAGAAGGACGGCAACTTTCTCAGCGTCGAGTACAAGAGGGAGCGGTGCCCTGGCGACCTCGGTTTCGACCCTCTCAAACTCGGCAGCTCAAAAGGCGCCGACAAGAAGGGCCTGCACAACATTGAGGTGAACACAGGGCGCTTGGCAATGATCGGTATCACTAGCTTCTTGTGGAAGGAGTTCCTGTTCAAGGATGAGGGCATTGCGGCGAAGCTTCTGTCCGACTCCAACATCTAGTGATGCAGTGGATGCAGTGTGGGATGCAATTTTCATGCTTCAGCCCTGTACCACAAGTGTCAAAGGGCCTTGTCAAGGGTTTTCATGAGCTTGTGATTTTCCTCGTTGTTGGCGGTGCAGGGTTGTATAGAAGATGGCTGCTGTCCAGGCCCTAAGCCTGAGCCCCAAACGAGCCTAGACACCAGGAGACATTCAACGCCTACAGAAAAGTCGCTGGCTAGGGGGGCTTTGGGGGTTTTAGGATGGCTTGGAAGTTGGTAGGAATATTTCTGACGTCCAACACCATCGCCCCAGCTATTTGGGCTAACACATTTTCTGCCTCCCACCACTGACTCCAGCACCCGTGAACCATGGCTGCTTTCGTTCCGACCGCAACAAACCCGGCGTCTGCCCACTCCTCAGCAGCGCTGCGGGGCACCGTG